ATTCTCCAACTTAACTGCCCTAGCACACCGCCAACCTCAAGTTGAATTGGATGGAATCAACCAAACCAGACATACCTATCTGCATTGGGCCTTTTCACTGGCGCAAGTAAGGGGGGCCCCGAGACACCCCCCCCCCTCCGAAAGTGTTATCCGTATACCAGTAAGGTTGTGATCTTGTCCAGTCGCTCATTTTCTGGTGAAAATGATCTGAGGCCCGTTTATGGATGAAACCTGAACATGCCTGAAACTTACACGTAGGGCTCTCTTCAAAACACTAGGGCTGTTCATGAAATACATGACCCTAAAAATCGGATATTTTTACTTCATTTTTCTCTCAGTAACGCACCTCGAATACAGGCATAGCACATCCCTCTACAAAAGTACGTAATGCCTTATATGATGTCAATTGGCATTTCATAAGACATTTCGGATGAAAAGTTACAGTCCTGGAACGATTTTTCAGCTTAAAACTTCAGTGTTACGTTACACAGCTCTACACTCCTCCACTTACCTCGTAACACACCCGCAACGTATGCTCAGACAGTTTCTTTCTCTCCTAGAGCGTCACGTCCTATACGAACGGACTCTCTCAATGTAAGTAACACTGGTTTAGTCAACGCTATGCATTAAACCAATGAAGCACAATTATTATGCTACCCATCACCTCCTATTATTCCGCTTTTTTTGTTGTTCTTTTTTTCCACCTCACACTCTGGATATATACTCGCGCGGGACGATTTAGTTAGCTGCACACTCGGGAGTTAACTAGCAGCGGAGCGCCGCGATTTAAATCGGAGCGCTTAAACAAAATCGGCCCGGCGGAATTTATTCGGCCCAGCCGGAGTTCTCATAATTGCCGCGAAAATCGATTCGGCGATTCCCTCCGTGTGCGAGCGTTTTATGCAAATCCGCAGCTAAATCCGGGAGCCTATCAGCTTCCGATAATAAACGATCGGGCCGCCAAAGCCGGCGGAATCCTTAATTGCAACTCCGCGAATGCCGACCGAAAACAGCGTATTCGCGCGGAGAGTCCCCGGGAGTCACCGGGCATTCTTTCCCCGCTAGCGCCGATTTTATATCATTACGTTCGATTTCACGCTTAGCTTAACGCGATACTTTTTTCATTACTTGCAGCGGCCAAGACGAACATGGCCCGACAAGCAATTTCCCGCCTTCGGATCATCTCGTTCGCCGTAAAAATTACTTCATTGACTCCGGACCTGCCTTGAAATGGGCAATCGTGTGAGTTTTACAGGTTTCAAGTGTCTCCGGGAACTATCGTTCGCCCCGAAGGCGAGAAAATTAAAGTAGCTAATAACCAGTAGCGTTTGACTTTCAGAAAAATTAACCCATCATTGAACTAAACGACGCTTTTAAATAGCTTCCTTTCATGTTCAGCGAGTGAGGTCACCAACCCGTAGCCACTATCTTCAGCCCTCTGGGCTCCTGCAATCTCACCCGTTTCAAAGCTGAATGTATATCCCCTCGTCTGCTTCATTTCACTGAGTGATCAAGATCAATTTGCACTAATACTCTTTGCAAATTTTCACATCACGATATCGGATTGAGGGATGCGAGTTTTTTCAAACTTTACGTCTTTGAGCCTAACTGAATGGTGGGAAATCAAAACCTGCTGAGCGCCACCAGCTGTTGCCAAGATTTCCCATAGTGTTCCTCGTTGTAAAAGAACCTAAATTCATTCACTTCATGAACGTTTTATTCGGATATTTTCCATAAATTCTGGTCTTATTTTTATGTCATGGATTTTTATTTTCGAAACAAGATATGGTTGCACAATCTTAGCAACACCTATGGCGCTTACTAGGTTTTGAATTTTCTTTTTTTTTAAGAAGGGGTATATCGATAAGGGCCGTTTGTGGGCCTACTTCGATTTTTTCAAACTCTACAAATCTTTTACGCTCTGAAGGTCTCTAGTCTACGGAATGCATCATGATTTGATCATTTTTGGTCTCATTCTGAGTCTAATACTGGCTTAAGAATGGGTCTAGAGACTAACTTTGGCGGAAAATGCGGGTTTGGAGGACTTTCGGTCGACTGCCAAAAAGTGGATATTTTTCACTAAATTCGGCCTTCAAACCCATGTCAGGGCCGGTATCAGATCCGAAAAGAGACTAAAATTGACCAAATCATGATGCATTGTGTAAAATACATTCAATTAACAAAAAAACTTGGAGTTGAGGAAATTCAGCTTGATTCGGCCCAAAAACGGCCCTTATTGAGACCCCTCCTTAGTGTCTGCCAAATCTCGAATGCTTCGTCTTAAAGACTGTGTCGTATACAAGACGAAAAATAAGAGCACAGTCGATGTAATTACGTGTTGATTCGGGTAGGTAGAAAATTCGCTTAGACCAAAATGGACGTATTTATGCTAAAAAGAACTACGTGCATAGGGTTTACGTGTTACATAGTTCCTTTTAGCATAAATACGGACGAATGGGCCAAAAGTGGCGACGTGCGCGGCCCCATCAGTGGAAAAAGGAGGGTAAATAATATAATTGAAAGAGCGCGTCCAAACAATCAAACCCGTGTTTATCTTTCAACGCCCCGACGTCGGTGGTAACTTGTAACCCAGGGCTAGTAATTTTTCGTGGTCGGACATGATGCGGTGAGGGAAGTGGGTTTAATTACAGGGAAGATTTATCTCGGGAAATGTACGCCCACCGACCCCTCCCCCCCACGACTACCCCTCACGTATTTTGGCAAAGGATAGGTGGCAGGCCTAACCCTTGTTCGCGGATTCGCTGCGAGCGTGCCAAGGAGTGGTATGGACACGCGATATTAGATTTTGTCTGCGTGGGTAAATATTTGCAAAGCCCGATATTTGGCTCTTCGAGACGGAGAACAAAAAACCGGGCATGGTTCCCTCGCGCTTGGATGCGGACTCTTACGGATTTTCAATGAATGAAGAGGGTCCATTCAGTAGCCAAAGGCCTCGTGTATGGTCATTCTACGGAAAGCCCTTTTCCTGACGGGAGGGGGGGGGAGGTTCATTGTGAATAAGGGACGTTTAAGGAGGCCATCAAAGATATCATCATAAGTAGGACAGTCTTTACAAAAATTGAGTGAAAATCAATATATTATAACTGTGGAGCCGGACTTAGGAATATAAAAATATCTAGAAGGCTACTCAACTGATTGTGAGCTACAGTTTCGCTGGTGCGACTAGAAAATCTCATAATAGGTATACTTCGGTGTGTTATAGTATAGGTTAACTGTCGCATTTTATTTCTTCAAAAGATGAATTGTCATCCTTTTTGTTCAGAATTTTGTGTGATTTACACACAAAATTGTATTGTTCCTAAAAAATTTCAAACTTAAACGTCATAAGTATTTTTCTTAATGGGGGAAAATCCAAACAAAGGACGACTCGTGAAAGTAAGCTAAAGGAAACTCTACAAATCAAGCTCAAACACTTATTGTATTTTGCAATTTTTAGAGCCGGCAGCGTTGTAATATATTAAAACAAATCTTCCGCGAAAACAATTATGTTCCCGAAATACATGATCAAAAAATTATTCCATGAGTAGACTCTGCCGCAGTCGTCGTTTCTAGATCAGTTAGTAAAGGGGCCGCACTGCCGCAGCGCACATTGCTGTACTGCATCTAAACAATCAAAGAATTTTTCGGAAAACTGACAATGTCGCGCTAAAAATTAATTCATTTTTAAGAGATGTTTTTGTAGTATAAACGATCAGTTGAGGTCATTCCGTCTCTCCGGATCTTTGCAGTACTGTCAGCCAGCGCCGCGCGAATGAACTAGCTCATGATGAGGTCAGACATGATGCGGAGACTTAAAAAGTCCCATCTTCGTCAATACCAAACCTAGAGGTTTAAAAGTGGCTCTATTGCGGTTTCCTCGTTTAATTTACCCGTAGAATCCTCTCTTAATATTCATACACTGACAAAGTGAACATCATAATTGCAGTTATAGCTAAAACTTGTAGGTCCAACCTCTCCAACTGACTCGTCCCACTACGCGCTGCAGCGCCGCGCCCGCAAATGAAGCGTTGAGCTCTTGGAGAGTCAAAACGCCTTCGCTTCCGTGCGTATGCAACATGGACATCCATGAAGCTCGAATAGTTGTATCTACACGTTTTAATGAAATTCGTTCTGCGGCACTAGCTGAAGGCGCTTTGTTTTTGTTTCTCTTACGCCTTAGCTTAATTCCGACGTTGCCTATTGGACTGCTGACGTAAACTATTTCCTCCCGATTTTTATGTGTAATATTTCCTCTTATCTTAAATCCTCGCGTATTCCTATTTTCCTATTTATTTTGATTTGTTTTTTATGTTATTGTTTTCTACGTTTCCAAGAGGAGATAGCGTATTTTAGAGACCCCGCGCTGGCTTTCTAAGCTGTGGAATTGGGTAGGCAATAGTTAAATTCGGAGGTCAACTTATTTTTTGCTTCGGAATGGTTGATGAGCAACTAGTTCAACTTAACATCTGCCAAATGATGACTGATCAACTGATGAATGTATGGAATAGCATTTTGCTGGGCAAATTTTCGCACGATAGGTTGAGGTTGCAAAAACCAATCGCTTAAATTTTGGAGCATCAATCATCAAGAGGCGAATATGAGCGTTGAACTTCAAGAGTAATATAACATTAAAAGGAAGATGTAGCAGTGCGCGATCTCTGAAATATATTCTCTGTCTTTAAACTTTTGATTTTTTTTAAAAAAATTTATTCTGGGGGTTGACTAAAACCACAGAACAACGAGAAGTCATACTCGAGCAACGATCCGCATTGTTAATTTAAATTTTAAGTATTATTTGAATTTTCATTATTTAAATTTATATTATTTTACTTTTTATTATTTACATTTTTATTATTTTACGTTTTATTATTTAAATTTTTATTATTTTACTTTTCATTATTTAAATTTTTAATATGTTACTTTTTATTATTTTAATTTTTATTTTATGTGGCCCACTAACATGCAAAGCACTCAAATAGCAACCTCCTCCAATGTTGCAGGCGGAACTAAATGACGAATCAGCTGAACCCAGTGACGCGCAAGACACTGAGTTCCCATTTTCAGATGCAGAGGCGACCACTGTTACTGTAAGTCTTTCCTCCGCCCCCTCTCGGTGCTTGGGTTTCTTCCCGGTTGCTTTTGGTTTTCCACCCTTTCGCTTCCTCTACATTACCTTTACGAGAAGAATATGGATTTCGAAAATTTTACACCTACTGCTCTCTTCGCTGTCGCGGCAGCTTTCCCTATTAAGGTACTCAAGCTTGCTCAGCCTCGAAGTTCTCCTGCATGACCGATTCAGCCGTTTCAATCGAGCAGTGTGAATTTCCTCTTTTTATGAAGCAATATTGAAGACTTCCTTGAAACTCCTGTAACCAAAATAAATCCATATGCGATAATCCACAGGAAATGAGCTGCTTCAGGATATGATTACGGCTACGAATCTCACACAGCGAGAGAAAAAGAGGTTTGTTCAATTAGGAAAGAAAGTAGAAAGGGAAGAGTAGAAATTTGAAATAATTGACAAGTTGCTTTGTAGCCTGGAAGTTGTGGCTGCAGTAATCTCAGTAAGAGAGTTGACGCTAAGCGCAGGGGCGGAGGGCTAAACCGCTCTTTTTTCTCTGAGACTCGCCTGTCGGATTTTCACTTGCGACAACTTGGTGGATCAAGTTTTCGCCAAAACCCGACTTCATCGACCCTTTGGAGAAAAAAGAAACTTAATAGAATCCCCCAAGTTTTCGCTCGGGTGTGAAGTGTCGCGGGCTTCATGAAGCTCTTCCGACTAAGTTGACGAACTCTACTCCATTCGATAACTTCCTAACGTAGAAGCCTTTGGTTTCCTGTGAAAGCTGGCGACGGTGCTTTCCGAAAAAGAAAGTTTCGTCAAATGTCCAAATGAACTCCCTACTCCTGATCCATTATTGTGCACTGCTCATCTCTGAGTAAAGGGAGAACAAAAGCGCATAATTTTTTGTGTACATGTTCACGTTCCGCTATAGTAATGGCGACCTAAGTCAGGAACCTACTTCCTCTTAATTTCCTTCAAAGAGATGAAGAATTTTAGGAGACAACAACTATCCATTTTATTGACGTTATTCGTAGCACTTTTTTAAAACTCATTCTTAGTCATCATCTTACATAGGTACTTTTGTTTTGGCAGATCAAATCTGTATCACTGACTTCGGTTTTCACAATTGGACGTATTTCTATCAAACGGAACTATGTCTATCAAGACATGATCCCTGAGACCCATAAGAATATGTGCATAACAGGGGTCACGTCATAATGCACATAGTTCCGTTTGGCAGAAATACGTCCATATATTGTCTATTTTTAATATTCCGTGGTGAAGAGCGGGGTTTGATCTCACATTATGAATAGGGATCCTTTCCTTGAATTAAAAGGGGTCTCGCATCATCAATGAACGCCTTTTTCACGCAAAATACCGCTCCGAGTGCCTTTATTTAGTGCGCGTTAAAACGTGGTGCGTTCTGACAATTACTGAAAAAATGGGCAATTTGCCTAGACACAACAAAACTAGCTCAAGCAATTTTTGTGTCTCTCATTTTAAAATGTTGCATAGCAATGCAGATTAAAACTCGAATACGATTGAAGTGCCCAATTTGAAATTTGGACATATTTTTGCTAAACGGAACTACGTGCAATTTTCAAACTTTTTAATGGAGCAAGTTTTGCAAAAACCAATTTTTTATACATGCAAGAAGGACCCTGTTTATGTACAAGGAAAATCTTGATTTGTATATTATCAGTTTTCTATCTTGCATATTTACAAGAAAAGTCTAGAAGCATACTTTCTCGGCTCCTGTTCTATCCTTTTATCAAAATTTGGTATTCTCGTGCACTTTTTGATGGGAAATTCGACTTTTTATCAAATTTCTGAAATTCGAAACTCCAAGATGGCGGATGTGGTCTAAAATATATCTTGGCGATGAAAAACTTTCAATGTTTACAAAAAAGTTTGAAACCGCCCGAACCAAAAACGAAGTGCATATCTACACACGTGAATCCAGGGGGTTCGTAGGCCATACGCTCCCCCGACCCCTGTCTGCCCGAAAAAAGAGGAAGAAAAAAGGAACTAAGAAAGCAGGGAGGAAGGAAAGAAAGAAGGAACGAAAGAAAGAAGAAGGAGAGACGCATGGATTTGACAATTTTTCATGATAAGTTGATTCAACTGCATATTAGATTATTCAAAATTTTGAAAATGTTCTAGAAAGAGTCCTCCGGACACCCTTTACGCCCCCCTGAAGTGTCTGAATCCGCATATACATACTTATATTGCACATTCAATGATCGAAACATCGCAGATTGGACACTAGATTGCTAACAAAGACAGTTTTTCGGGGGGCACAAAGTACTTTCAAATTTGACCCTCGGGGGGCAGAAAATGGCTCTAAATGGGGCAGGTCTTTCGCGGGAAAAAGTGGCGGGTAGAAAAAAATAATAAAAAGGAGATATCTGACGTGGAGGAACAGGAATTGTGATCAGGACTTGGAGACTTGCGAAGAGTCCGCTCGTGTGACCCACGCGTGCACCACTTCTCATCCTCCCGCCCGGGTCTTGTCGTTCCCTTTCCAATCTCTTTGATTGCGTTCTGTTTTGTGTTATTTGATTTATTCCGTTACAATATTTTTGAGCGACGGAGCACCGCTTTTATGCTTTCCCTCTATTCAGCTTCAATGAATTCGCTCGCTCTCCGAACAACAACTTATAAATTTTGTTTCCGAAGCATGCAAAGAGCAAGAGGACTTTTTTCACCGGAACATGCCGATTCCTCACCCTTGTCCCGGACTCATCTTATCATACCGTGGATGTTGCATTTCAGCCCTTCAACCTTTACTTCCCCCGATGGGGTCATGCTTGATTTATTCGTTAGATTCCCACTATTCCCGTCCTCTCGTCGCAGAATCTCAACCTGAACCTTTTTCCACCGTTTTATCATACCAGTGTCAATGAGGAGTCAATAAGAAATATTTGAATATTTGACAAAGTCTGAATTGGAAGAATGTCACGTGCTAGCTCTTCAAAATTTTACGTAGAAAAGGATTCTTACGATGGGAAGATCGGATATTAACTCCTGCGGGCTGTTTACTGAAATTGATAGGCAAAGCGATAGACAAAGAGGACGAAGGGAAAATGGTGCAATCCAGTTGGTTTAGATGGGTTGTAGTTTTAGACTGGGGGGGGGGGGTGATGGACTGACTATAGGGTATTTCGCATGCATTGAGTATTTAGAGTCGTAATGTACGTGGGAGAGCTGGCGCCATGTTCTGCTCGACGAGTTCCGAGCCCGGTGTGCGGGGTCACTTTTTCGATACATATTCGATCCAAAATGGCGGTGTGGAATATGGCCGGGTCCTCGTGTATCGCAAACAATCGATTATGTATCGAAAAAGGGACCCGGCGCCGCTCAGGAATCTCGGAATTCGGGACTTGGAAAATGCTTAAAAGTGGCGCCAGCTCTCCTACTTGCATCACGACTCTATGTACTCTATGCTCGTGTGTTGCTGTCACTTATTCTATTACTTACCACCCTTGCCCATTGTAACCACCCGCTTCCATCAATAGGATCTCTCCATTTCCCCTTTTTTTCTTTGTCTACGTTCAAAAGAGACGGGTTTTTTTTTTTCAAGAAATCTCGGAAGAAAGCTCAATTATTGAAAAAAGTATATGTATCGATGTTCACTTATAAAAAATATATTTTTTCCTCCGATATTTTTTTATACGCAAAAATATGCTTAATACAGAAAAAATATTTTCTCAAAATTCATTTATTTCGCCTCCTCCCATAATTAACTCACGTAGCACTTGAACGGCCCCTTATGGACACCTGTTCTTTAATTATGAGAGGCTCGCTGGCTCGCGTCTGAGCCTCGACCAAAAATGGGGCGGGGACCGGGGAAGAAAACGAGAGTAGAAATATGAATGCACGGAGCGAAGTCATTCTGTATCATGATGAGCGAAGAAAAGCAGATAAAATTTCATTAAATATTCAGCTCGGAGCCGGATCCTGGGGCAAGAGGCTCCCGCTTGGGGAGGGGTCGTCCGAACCGGGAGTCGGGGCTTCGGCGCTCCCGCTTTTTATGAAGTTGCGGTAATTTACGCACTCACGCGCTGTTCTTTCCCGTGTAAATATTTATACTAGGATCCTCCGAATGAAGGAATGCAATTTACGCCGCTAAGGACTCGGCTTATCCTCACTCAAACTCCAAAAACGCGTAACTCCATTGTGGTGTTTCAAAATCACCGACCCTGTTACAATTTTTCCCAAAAAAGCCAAACCAACGCCCTGGCGTTAAATTTTCGCAAAATATTCTTCACGTGGAGAGGAAAGCCCATCGTAGTTTTAAATAATTGACTTCGAGTAGTTTTCTATTTGCAAAATGAAGTCTGGACAGGAAGTTGGCGACGCCGCAAAGCGAGATACGCGTTTTTGTAGTTTCATCGTCGTTACAGGGATTTTTCCTTGCCTCGGCCTCGGCATCTATCTCGTCGCCCCACCGCGCCGCACAGTGGATCGAGTCAATACGGGAGGTCGGACAAAATCTGGAAACTTTAAAAGCTTGTAACTCCATTTGGACCGCGTCAAGCAGAAATAAACCAAAGCCACATCAGTCAAATTTAATGTAATAGGTCAATTTAATTTTTTACACGAAAACGGTTCTGCGGATTTTTTTTGCAAATTTTAGTGAATTTTCCGCACAGTACGAGGCCTTAATTTCTTAAAGATCTGCACAAACGTTCTCTTGTAAAAAATTAAATTGCCGAGTTAAATGGCTGGAGCGAATGGCTGTGGCATTTTGTCCCTTCATGCTAAACGCGGTCTATGCATACATAGCGTTGAAGTTTTGAAAGTGAATTTCTTGGTTTCCTCGTAAAATTTTCTGCTATAAGCAACCCTTAAAATTTAAAATTTGGCGAAATAAGCATCAAAAGTTGCAATTTTATGCCAAATTTTTCATGTCCAACCTTTTCCATTGATTCGATCCACTGTGCGCTGTGGCGGGGTTGGAGATTATTCACTCTACCGCGGTGCAACGGATCGGATGATGCGCGGCTTAACGTGTAACGC